TGTACACACCCAAGTCATCGAGGCACCACCACACGGATGGCGCCTACTTCGGCACCGGTTTCCCTCACATGCTCTTCATGGTGCACCCCGAGTACCGGCCCAAGAGGCCCGCCAACCAGTTTGTGCCCAGGTGGGGAGCAGGGACAGTCACCAAGGGTCAAAAGAGGTGCCTGGGATCCCCCAGAAAGAAGGGAGGACGAAGCAATAGCTATCCTTGTTAGCATTTTGTGTGCTCAACTTTCTGTTAGGAAATTCTCAGAGGCACAATTTAAGTGTGGTTTATCTTCCTGGAGTATCATTTTTACTCTAGTGTAGAAAAGGAAAGTTCAGTTCTTATATTAAAACAAGTACTGACGTGTGTATACTCATGTATATGTGTACAGACACACATTTGTAGCTTTGAATTTGAGTTTTAATAGATATTTAAAATACATTTCCAAATATTCTTGAGGGAAGAAGTTGGGGATCCGCTGCCCTTAAGTACTGAGCAGGCCCAGTAGAAACTGGGGTAGGGAAGAGGGGGTGCAGGCCACTGGCAGGGCTGGGATGGGGCTCACTCTGCTTCCTCTCACCTCTGCCCCAACCCAGGCTTTACGGTTTCAAGATCCATCCAATGGCCTACCAGCTGCAGCTCCAAGCCGCCAGCAACTTCAAGAGCCCAGTGAAGACGATTCGCTGATTCCCCACCCCACCTGTCCCTCGGTCTTTGACACTTTCATTCCTTTGCTGCCACCATTTCAGGAACCCTCTATGGTTTTTAGTTTAAATTAAAGGAGTCATTATTGTGGTGGGAATATGAAATAAAGTGGAAGAAAAGGCCATGGGCTGATTGGCTGGTGTTTGGGGTTGGGGAAGCGCGAGTAATGGTATGCTGGACCCCAGGAGCCCTCCTGGCCCAGCCCACTCTCCTCAAGTTGAGAACCAGCACAGATTTGTACCCAGTAGATTTGGGTGATGTTTTTAGGACTGGGTGTAGGGGTGTACAGAGATCACAAGGAAAAGACAGAAATTGGATTTCAAAGACTGGAGAAATATTTACTCTTTTTGTGCCACCTATAGTTGGCTGTTTATACTCTAGGGGATGTAATCAACATCACTTTAAGTTTTATAAGGAAGGTGGTCCCAAAATAAACTGAACTGTAAGGGGTGGAGAGAAGAGGTTCAAGGTCCAGAATTGCTGTTTTGTGGTGTCTGTGTGCCCACTCCTGGGGGAGCTGAGACATGCTCATCTCAGAAGGATGAAGGTCACTGGGTTCCTGGTTTAAGTTTCTCCCAGAAAAATAGGGACTGGCCCTGTTGTGTAGGGAAGATGGCAAATGGTACCAGAGAATGAAACTAATCCATGGACCTGGAGGGGTGGGAATAGATCTTTGAGGGACACTCAGGACAAAAGTAGACTGCTGGATTGGGGCCCAGATATTGCCCCTGTCTGGGCTACTGCTCCCACATTCAGGAACCAGACCAGGTGGCTGAGGACATGTTGTCCTCCTGCCAAGTTAATTGCTTCCTGCCCCAGCCAGGATCCTGCCCCAGGGAGGAGTATAGCTTTGTACCTACAGCAGCTCCTGCCCAGACTACCTGTCAGAACCACCCTGCAGTTCAGGCTCAAGGAGCATGGTCATGGGAAGGTGGGGTTTCTGGGCACTCCTCAGGGACTGCCCCTCTCCCCAGAAGTCCATGATGAAAGCCCCCATACTTATAGGTGCACTGGTCATGGTGGGCTTCACAGTGGGAAAGGGTAAGTGGGGCAGGGGCAGGGAAGGAGGGGTGGCTGAGTACAGGGAGGGTGGCAGTGGATGAGCGGGATGTTGGAGGGCAGGGAACTTGGAGTGGGCCAACACCACCATCTGTGTCTTCTTCCCCAGCTCCTGTTTCTGAAGTCCGGACCTGCCACCTCTGCCTCTTAGAAGATCCTACTGTAGGATGCATTTCAGGCTCAGAGAAGTGCACTGTCAGCAGCTCATCCCCATGCATGGTGATCAGCATCAATTACGGTGAGTTGAGTCAGGCAGGGAAGGGGCCACTGGCAGGACAGCCCATGAGGTTGTCTCCTCTTGTAAATGAGGGCTGCTTGGGGCCTGAGGTCTAAGGAGATGGAGGTTTTTGGTAGGGGAGGGGTCTGGGGTTCTGGGGAGCCAATTAAGCTAATTTCTTCTGGCCTCTTCTGCAGGAGTCTGGAAAGGGAATTGGGTCTAGATGAGGGATGGGCAGAATCTGTGGAAGGGGTGCCAGGTTTGGTGACTGTGGGAGGCAGCAAGTGTTATTAGTTTTCCCTTCTTCTACAGATAACAAACCTCGCTTCTTAATCCGAGGCTGTGGACAACACATTTCCTACCGCTGCCAAGAAAAGCTGCCCACCTACATCTCAGCGTACTGGTACTCGGCCCAGTGCTGCCAGTATGACTACTGCAACTCCTGGTACAGTCCCCAGCTCCAGAGTGCCTTGCCTGAGCCCCCTGACAGGTCCCTGGCTCTGCCCCTGTCTCAGTCCCAAATCCTGTGGTTCTACCAAACCCTGAACCTGTCACTGCCCCTGCCCAGCTTCCCTGCTGGGAAGGAGCCTTCTGAAGGCCTGGACCCCGTGGCTGGCCCACCTGTGAATCTGAGTTTGTCTATTGCTGACCTGCGAAGCATATACTTGTTCCTCAACAGTTCTGGACTTTTGACTCTTCCCTGGGCTGGTCCCTGACATCTTGCCCTTTGCAGATAGATTTCTCTCTGGTCTAGCATCTCACTCCTGACACCCAGCATCATGCATTGTCTTCTCAGAACACTCACACCCTTGGGTCTGTAAGTTCTCAGTCTTCCTTTCCTTTGTCCTTCCAGTGTCTATGGTTTTGGTCTAGTCTCCTCCCCCAAAAAAGCAGCTGGCACTGCACCGAGCCCTTTGACCACCTAGAAGATAATCTCAAATGCGGATTCTGCCTAGGCTGACCTGGGAAAGGCACAGTGGTTTTCTCAATACTGTCCTGTTATCGGAGTGTCCCATCACCCCCATGCCACCCCCATCTTCCTTGATCTCTCTCAATCTGGCTATTTCCAGTCTCCTATACCTAGCTCTGAAAGCTTGTGCCAGACCGAACTTGCATCAGAAAGGGTGAAAGCTGGACTTCTGTGCAGGTTTCCTGACTGAGCACTGTGGTGCCCCTCCTTCACTGTCTACCACCCGTGCTCCTGCCTGGTCGGCTGCCTACTCTCATCTCTTATCCCATTCTCTGGCTTCCTCAGCTCCACTTCACATCTCTGAGCCATGACACCCACTTACACAGATTCCTGGGGAGAGGAGGGGGTCTGTCCTTTGTTCTGTACTCCCCAGTCCCCCTCCACAATAAACAAACGCCAGAGTCTGTGTCACATTTTTGATGGGGGCAGGCTCAGGTGTGGGCAAGTGTAGACAAGTTAAAGGTAACTGGACGTGGGGTTCAAACAGTGTTGCAGAGCCCTGCCCACTCCACTTGGCCTTGTGTCTTCCTCAGTGGCCTGCCCCAAACAGCCCACATCCATCCCACCCTCTGCTCAGCTGAAGATCAAAGTACGAGGATTATGAATCTTGCCAGCCTTGAACATACCCTCCAAAATCTAGGAAGTTCACAGGTGATGTCAGGTTTTTCCACAAGAGAAAGGAAAAAAACCACCATGAAAACACAAGAGCAGACACACAGGTCTGCATCTCTGAGTCACCTGGAGCTGAAGCACCTGCGTTCTTTTCAGGATCCTGGCAGCCAGGACCGGCTGTGTGGGAAGTCTAGGGGAAGGGGGTGAGGGAGTACAGAGTACACAGGTAGGGCTCCAGAGAGAGGCTCTTTGATTTTAATTTGAAGAACTGCAAGCATGCAGAAAGCGGTAATGAATTTTCATAACTCAACCTTCCCCATGCATTCAGTACACACTGGACACACTGCTCTGAGCCAGGCCTGGTATTAAGAAGCACCAGGACATGCAGATGAATACAGCCAGGTGTCCACTCCTCCGAATCTGGTGACCCAGTACCAGAATTATGAAACATTCTGAAAAGCAGTGCACCTCTGTGGCTGGGAGGCCCAACCCCAGCTCCTCCATCACTTGGATAAGTTGGTCTCGGCCTCGCTATGGTCACCTCTCAAGTAGAGATAGTGTCTCAGGATTGAGAGAATGTGTGTGCACACAAATAGAAGTTATGGGCTCGAAAACAGATGTGCCTTAGAGACAAAGCACACTGATTTTGCCCCATTTAGTTTTAAACCATTTTGGCCATAGAGATGTTTGCACACTTTTAGATGGGTTTTTGTAAACTTACACACCTGTATTATACCATTTGCCGAGTTAGCATAAAGGCCTTTATCAGCACCCAAAGCTGCCTTCAGGCCCCCTCTTAGACCCTCCCCTGTCCCAACCCTTAGGAGTAGCCACTGTCCTGAATTTCATCGTGTTCTTGATAAGTGACATCACGCAGGATATAATCTTACCTATACAACATTTTGCACTTAGATCTACGTGGCCCCTGTAACTGCCTGTGTGCTAGTGGGAGGAACCAATGTTTGTTTCTAGATAAGGAAGCAGTGGGAGGTAAAGAGGTACAAGCCACTATGTTCCTCTTTTGCCTGCATGTTTTCCGCCATGACCTTTGACTTCAGTATAGGTCAAAGGCCCAGGTCTGTACAGCTCTAGCAAGTCAAACTGGAAGGCAGCCTTAGAGGCTGAGAAGCCCAAGGCCCGAAATTGAGGTGAGTTACCATGATCCTTGAAAAAGGAAATTAGCCTGGGATTAAAGAGGACACTAGGCCTTGCATCTCTCCACAGAACTCCTTCCCCACCATCTCCTCCCTGGGACTGGTTCTTTCACAGCTTCACTCCCACCAGCATACCCCCATGGACCTCCTGGCCAGTCCCCACCAGCTCTGGGTCTGACAGCATTTCTGAGGACATCCACTACCCTTCTGGTTTTAGCCACAGGAGGGCTTCCAGTTCCTCTTGTCCTGAGAGCTGAGTCAGACACAGCAGGGCAAAGCAGGAGCTGAGCTCTGCAGGTCGGGGAGCCCCTTTCCTGCCCCCATGATGAAACAGTCAGGTAGTACCATATCCCTCAACCTCCATATCCACCAGAAGAGAGAGGCAAACCAAACAGTTTGTTCATCATATTTATTTTGGAGGAACAGCTGGGGACTTGGGGAGAGAACTGTTGTGGGAAAAGAAACGAAGCAGGGCAAAGAGGTATCCTTGAGGTGGGAACAGACAGGAGGAAAGATGTTAGACGGAGGATTCTGGAGAGGGAAAGTGGGAAGGGGCAGAGTGGAAATTGAGGGGTGTTGAGGGGCATCAATCAAGAGGCAGATAGGGCTGGGGTCTAGTAACTGCCCCTGAGGGTGGCAGGGAGGGCTGCTCGGGGGAGGCTGGACAGTGCCCCAACAGTCCCCAGGTGGAAATCAGGAGAACGGCTGGAAATTGGCAGGATTGTACTCCTGAGGTCTCTACAGAAATTCTAAGAAATATATGTCATTCTGTTCTGAGGGTTATTGCAGAAATTCTGGAAGCAGCATCGAGAGAATATCCAGAAGCCAAACACTGGAGAGGCGCGGGTGTATGAGCAGTCACTCATCTGTTCCTTGCTCCGGCAGTCACTCACCATGGTCTCAAAACCACTGTCTGGGGACAGACAGCAGCAATCAGTGACATGGAAGTCCCAGGCAAAGCCCCGAGCCCTCCCATCCCTTCATGCCACAGGGACTGACCATATACCCTACCCTGGACCCCAGAAAGGCAGATCCCCGGAACTGGACAGGGTCAGGGAATGCCAGGGAATCACCAGCCATGAACTCTTTGGAAGATTCCCATGGAAGGTTGGTGGGAAAGAGCCATTCAAAACACAGTGTCAGGGACTTCCCTGGTGGTCCAGTGGCCAAGACTCTGAGATCCTAATGCAGGGGCCCCGGGTTTGATCCCTGGTCAGGGAACTAGATCCTGCATGCTGCAACCAAAAGATCCCACTAAGCAACTAAGATCCCATGAAGCAACTAAGACCTGGTGCACCTTAAATAAATAAATGTTTTTTTAAAAATTCCTCTAGGAGAGTAAAGAGGAAGACAGCAAAAGACCAAACTCTGGTGAACATGAACTGTTAAAGCTCCAGAAAAAAAAGGCAAGACTCAGTGAAGGAGGCTGAGAAGAAGTAGTGGAAGATGTAGTAGAAAAATGGTGCTGGCAGGAACTACCACTGACAGATGGGGAGAAGGCAGCCCAAGGAAAGGCCAGTGGATCTGGTGAACTCCAGGCCTGCAAGGATGGGTGTTATAAGGAGGGTAAGCCAAGAAGGGAAGAGGAATGGAAGTAGCGATGCGGAGTAACTGTAAAGAAAAGGAGAGAGAGAGGGAGTGGTGGAACAGTATCTTAGAGTTTGGGAACCAGTTGGGGTACAGCTTAGAAGGCTGGTGGAGACTCAATTCGGGAATGGACTGGGCCCAAGATGAAAGGAAGAGGCAGCTTACTGTTCCTTATGAGCAGAGTCATGCAGCTGCTGCCCTTTGGGACAAGGCAGGTGTCAGATCCCAGAAGGCATCCGAGCTCCTTGGTCTCAAAGAGGCATCGATAGCAGCTTAGGTATTTGTTTAAATGTTCTGGTTTAATGATTCCTGGATCATGCAACTCAGACTGACCTGGAACACAGAGAAGCACTGACCCCAAACCCACCTAATTCCCAGACTCATTGTTCCCTCCTACCTCCCTACTCAGAAAATCATAAAATCACCAATTCTTGAAAACCATCAGGCTTAATCTAACATCAGAAGCTTTAGTTCTCATAAAAAAATCTCCACTCTTTGCTCTCATACCTCCTGAAATGAGGAACTCATTCATTCAACATGCATTTGAGGGGCTAACATGCTTAGCACTCTACAAGCCTCTAAATTTAAAGGTTAGGCCAAAGCAGTTCATTCCAACTTTTTGGCAGCCCTGTTAAGACAGTGTTTCCTCTGTGACTTGGTTTCACTGTTCCTCACCCAACCCCCAGACTCTCTTTTGAATATGCTTTCATAATCTGTAATGTTCAGAGTGTGAAAATCTCAGAGCGTATCATCACAGGACAGGAAGAATCCTTTCTGTAGCCAGGAGGCTTCAAACAGCCCAGGGCCACATTCTTTGTTTGGCTGTCCTTTCACTGAACAGACTCATGAAACTTTGTCCACTAAAGCCCTCCCCAACTACCCCGTATTTATCTCCCTCGTCCTCTGGTCCCGGGCCCAGATCACATGTTACTGTGCCCCCAAAACCCACTTTCAGACCCAGCAGAGCACTTGGTATGAGGCAGATGCTGAGCAAACACTTTGGATCTGGTTTCTGTGTAGATGGTGCTTTGCAGTCAAGTGGAGTTATCAGGCTGAACTTAGCCTTGTTCTACGCTCTGTATCCTGAGGCTGTCATCTGGCATGTTCTCCCAACCCTTCCCATTCTGTATTGCCCTCAGATTCTCAGAGATTCCCCTTAGTATATCCATTCAGGTTATTGCCGTTGAGTGAGACAGCGTTGGGGTAGTCACCAGAAATCTCCCTCAGAGTGAATATTGGTCTGTTATCAGTCCCCAAGCATTATCCCACCAAGCCCACCCATCCCATCTTTCCTCCTCCCTGGTTTTACCTGAATGTCCTTGGTACATGTATTCAGATACTTGGTATCAGGGTTTCTGTATCCGGCAGGTTAGGAAACCCTTCTGACCCCATTGAACCACTTACCAGACACCAAGCTCATCGTGACCAGCACTGTTAAGAGGACTATGTACAGGGTTTGATTCTGGCTACCTGCATGGCCTTCCATAACATACATGACTGCCCACCAGTGTCCAGTTTGGCCTTATATTGGCCGAAGAGAAGTGGGCAAAGAGGAAGGGGGGAGGCAACATCCTTTGGAGTGGAAATCAATGCTAGAATCTACAGCCAAGGGACAGAATGGCCTCACCCACGGCCCTAACATCTTGGTTTGGAAACAAGGACCCAGCAATGGGGGAAAAAGAAGGGAACCTTCTTTCATATTAATTCAACAGACATTCGTTAGATCACTGCATCAGGTATTGGGGATACAATACTGCACAAAGTCCCTACCCTCACAGAGCACAATCTAGAGTGGAAGACAAGTCAACAATGATGGAGGAAGGGGAAGAGTGTTTCTGGGGGAACTTGGGCAGAGAAAACCACTGACAAACAGATTCAGCAGAAGAGTACAAGATCAAATTTCTGCTTGTAAAAGGTTTCTGAGGCGGCGAAACCAGTTAGGAAGCTATGCCTGAGTCCAGTCACAAGATGGCGGCCTGGTCTAGCACAAGAGAGGGAAGCCGACAAGTGAATGAGCAGCATTTAGAAGGAAGACTGGACAGATTTGGACTTAGACTGAATGTGAGGTGAGGAAGGGAGAATAGGCTTGCCAAAGGGGATAACTGTGATAACATTTCTCAGGATGGGGAAGATGTGTCAGGAATCCAAAAAGTGAGGATACCTAAGTCGCGAGTGACCCTACTCAGTCCAGTAGGGGTTCCAGAAAACCAGAGCCTTTCCCTACCCCCACTGCACCCTGCGCTTTTCCGGTCCTGCCTCAGCTCAACCGCAGGTCAGTGGGTCTGATCTCCGGTACCCACCGGCTCTGGCGCTGTGACCTCGCTCTCTGTGCCTGGCTGCACCTCAGAGCTTTCGGGAAGATGCGAGGGCGGCCCCCAGCCCAAGCTCAGCTCTTGGCCAGGCGGCTGGAGAGAAACCTGAGAAGGTCGCTCGCTTTGTGGGGACCCAGGCATCCTGCCCTGGTGTGTGTGTGTGTGTGTGTGTACTTAGTCGCTCAGGGGTGTGTGTGTGTACTCTCTCAGTCGTGTCCGACTCTTGGTGACCCCATGGACTGTAGCCCTCGTGTGTGTGTGTGTGTGTGTGTGTACTTAGTCTCCCAGTCGTGTCCAACTCTTGGTGACACTATGGACTGTAGCCCTCGTGTGTGTGTGTGTGTGTGTCCTTAGTCGCTCAGGGGTGTGTATGTGTACTCTCTCAGTTGTGTCCGACTCTTGGTGACCCCATGGACTGTAGCCCTCCAGGCTCCTCTGTCTATGGGGATTCTCCAAGCAAGAATATTGAAGTGGGTTGCCATGCCCTCCTCCAGGGTATCTTCCCAACCCAGGGATCGAACCCAGGTCTCGGCACTGCAGGAGAATTCTTTACCGACTGAGCCACCAGGGAAGCCTGCCCTGGCGGATCACCTAAAGTACTATGCAGCTTCCCCAGAAGGTGGCACTTTGGTGCCAACATCCCTCCCACACCCGGATGCTGCTCCAGGCACCCCATACGCTTCCTCCGCCAGGGGGCCTCCTGGGTCCACCTCGCCTGCTCCTTCGTAATCTGGCCAGATCAGTCTCTGTGAGAGACAGATTTTTAGCTTTAAGGGTCAGGAGGGCTACGGAAAGTCCTCGGCTTCCAGGAACTCTCCACCTGCACCAGCTTCCGGTCTGAAGGTTTGGAGCCAGGCCCAGCCCAAGGATTCCCTGCTGTGGTGCCAGATTATTCAAGAATTATCTGGCCTTGGGGTGCTGATGAGGAAGCTAGGACGAAAGGATGGAGACACACCAAGAAAGGTGGACGAGAAAGAAAAAATACGAGAGAAAAACACACACCACTGCGTTCACCTGAAGAGCCTTGGCATGATAAAAATAGAATTATTTTAGAGAAAAGTAAGAGTAATGGCGAACTGGGGAGGAGCACATGGCATCGATATAAATGTTGAATGAGTGACAAAAAGAATCGGAGAGCGGGGGCTGTTTTCGAAGCAAAAAGGGCAAAGGGGAGGCAGAAGGGAATTGCACAGCACCCTTTGACTCCCTCTCTTGAATAAAAGCGCAACGAGAAGGCATTAGGGGAGCTGAGGTTGGGCTCCCTGAAGGGGTCGTCCTGAGAGGTCCAGGAAGACTTGCGGTGAAGTTAAGCTACCGTGGACGCAGAGGGTCTGAAAGGGGCCTTCTTCAGGAGGCGTGGTCTTAGGCGCATTGATCCCGCCCTTGCTTCGTTTTGCGCTTCCCCTTACACGAGACTGGGCGCGGCTTCTGCGCGCGCAGAGCCGCCCCAGTTCGTTGTCATGGTGACGGGCCCTTTGGAGGCTTTCCCCGGTGAAGAGGCGGGGCGTTGCGATAGTCGCCTTGGTGACCGCAGCAGCTGAAGAAATCCAAGCTGAGGGCCCCTCCCCCGGGACGAGCGGTTTCTGAGGGTAAGCAACCGAATTACCAAAGCAGATCGGGCCTTAGGACAGAGTGCTGCAATTAGGGGACAATAAATCGGGGTGAACAAGGGGCGGAGCTGTAGATGATTGGGCCAGGCGAAAGCCAGGTTCTGTTAAGGGAGTGGCTGCGATACCGCGGTCTAGAAAGGAACTAGTAAGGGCATCTTTAATCCGAATAGAAATGAAAGGAAAAAATGAATGACTGGGTTCCTGAGGGAGCTGGAAAGGCTTGCTAATTGGATGGATGGATGGAGACCTGGCTATGCCCGACACCTGGGATCCCCACTCTCTGGAGCCTTACACCTTCGGGGCCCTCATTCGTGACAGTGCAGGAAACACATGCTCCTCCCGGGGACACGGAGGAAACCATCAACCTAAGTACGCAACTGAGAGCGGGAGTCCAGCCCCTCACACTGGGAGCAGCTAGGGTGTAGTCGGGGCCAATGAGACGGTAAGATAAAGGATTCAGCCCAGGGGCCATCCCTTCTTCCCATGTTTCCTATCTGTTTGCTAGCTCTCCTTTTTCCCAGCCACCATCCCCTCTCCCAGTTTGCCCAGCAACTCTGGGATCCCTGGGTATCCAGGCCTCGATTAGTGCCCGCCACAACAAGAGCCAGAGCCTCAGCAGGAGTGGTGTCTGCATCTCAGCTGGTCTCCTGAGACTGCTAGAACCCTGATAAATAGGGTGAAGAGTGGACAGGGGAGCTGGTGCCACCCTGGGGTAGGGGGAGTGGTTCTGAAAACACAGCTGCTATAAGCCTTGTCAGATGGGAAGTCATCTAAGAGGGTAGACTGAGACTTTTTGGGTGGCGTGGTCAGGAATTCAAATATTGAACCTCACCTCTCCCCACTCACTTCAGGTATCCAAGGGCCCCTCATGGCATACCCACTGTTATCTATAGAAAGTTCAGGAAGAAGGGAGAGGGGAAGTGGTGGTAGAGCCCGGTCAACAGATTCCCTACTGGCCATGGCCAGGAGGAAGGAGTACTTTGTCTCTAGGGTGTGAGAGGTGGGGCTCCCTATTTGCGTTTAAGGAGCTTCCCTTGGCTGAACAAAGACTTGGTTTCCAGGGGACTAATGTGACCTAGTGGATCTGGAAGGCCAGGTTCAGAATCATGCAGCTGGTCCCACAGCTTCACATTCCACCCTGTTTGCTCCCTAGGACAGGACAGAGGGGAGGGGTGCCAGTATCAGCTCTCCAGTATTGACTAAAGGTGGAGCATTGTGGAGCTGCAGTCAGTCTCCTCTAACCCCAAATAGCAGACATCGTGTCATCTGACAAGTCTCAGATCACTCCTTCCAGTGGAGGCTCAGTGTGTTTCCCTTGAAGGAGCCACTGAGCGGGTTGGGGCAGACAGCCTCTGCCCCTGGGATTGCAGGGGAGCTTTGTGCATTGAGGTTGGAGGAGACACTGAAGTTAGGCTGTATCCCGAACCTCACAATATAGTTGCTCACCTTAAGTATCTTGTTCAAAATGGTGGGCCCAGGGTGGTAAACCTAGGGGTATTTCATCTGGGAAAGAGGTTTCCAAGGGAAGAAGGTGGCCAAGCAACAAAGTGATGGATGGGAGAGAGATTCATCCTGTTCCACAACATCCAAGGAATGGAAATAGAATGGAAGAAGTGGCAACCCACTCCAGTATTCTTGTCTGGAGAACCGCATGGACAGAGGAGTCTGGTGGGCTACAGTCCGGGGGTGGCAAAGAGTCAGACATGATTGAGCAACTAACACTACAAGGAACCAATAGTGTTTCCTGGTTCAAACCAAGAACATTCTAACAGCTATCCAGTAAGGCAAAGTATGGCTCTGGGAAGACCTGCGTCCTTGGCACCTTGTCCTTAGTCCCTGGCAGGGCCTGTGTTTGTTGAATTGCAAAGAGAGTGTGAGGAGAGAGACTTGACATGGTGAGGAGGCCGTGCAGGGCTTGCTGCCTACAACATGGGGAACAAGCCATTCCTCACTCCCCATGGAAAGAGCAAGAACTAAGCAAGGAAAACTGGAGGTACTGATGCTGGAACCATGCAGGCTGGACCTAGAAATGGGTAGAATTACTGCGTAGATGTAAGTCAGGTGCTAGGAAGTACTTTGTAAACAACAGAGCTCATGAACTGTGAGCGTTGGAGGCAACTGTGGTCTCCTGGGGTGGTTGTATGTAGGAAGACCTAGGCAGGCACTAGGGAGGCTGCACAGTGGTGATGGTACTAGGCATGCCAGGGAAAGGTGAGGGCTGGGGACCCACTGCACATGGACAACTCAGGTTGGGGGTTGATTGCCTGGGGCAACAGCAGAGATGGTGAGGGTTAAATTGGTTGCCTGAAATGGGGTTTCTCAAAGCCCAGTCATTTGGAGCTTCAACTCTTCTCCACTCCCAACCCTGGCTTCCTGGAGAGCTGGGAAGTCACAAAATGAGCCAGCCGGTAGAAAAAATACTTTTATTAATTATTAGGAATAATTCATTCATTTAATGCAGGATGTGTGTTGAGGAAGGTTAGGTACTGCCGGATGGATGAGAGGAAACGTGCAAGAGGAACGGTGAGAATGGGGGGGTGGTCCCCCTGCTTGCCAAAACTATAAACAGCAAAATAAACACAGAGAATCACAAACACGGTCCTTCCTCATGTCTCCGTCCATCCGTTCTTCCAGAATGAGTCCCAGTGTGGTCCCTAGAGGTGCCAGGGCATCTGGAAGTTCTGGGCTGGAAGCGGGGTGCAGTGTGTGGCTTCAAAGTTATTCAGATGCTTCTGAGCCTGAGGGGAGAAGGTGGGACAGGTGGGGTGCAGAGCACGGACACCTTCTGAACCAACTACCCACTTTAAAGAAGCTGTTCCTTCCAATGCTTACAAGATACCCCCCTCCCGAAGCCCCACCTGTGCCCCTGGCCATTCAGGCACCCTCTTCCCACGCCTTAGCTCACCAGAAACAAAGCCAGCTGCCGTCTTCCATCTGCACTCATGTCCTCCCCTGCAGACAGAAGGTGCTCAAACACGGGCCATATTCACCCCCTTCCTGGGCTCTTCCCAACCCCTTCTGCCCCAGCACTCCTTACCCACGCTCCAGGGGAATTCAGGCCCGTGTTCTGCCTGGTAGGAGCGGAGGACGGACAGGCACCAGTCCTCCTCCACCTCCCACCGGCTGTAAATCGAGGCTGGTCATGGAGAGAGATGAGTGCCCATCAGCATCCTGGTCTTGCCAGGCCCCCAACCAAAGCCCTCAGCAGATCCCCTTTCACCTTCCTCCAGCTGTGAGGAGGCCTCCAACCACTGCTTCACAACTCGAAGACCCTCCTCTGCCATCACCCGGGGATACCTATGGAGGAGCACCGGGACAGGAGGTCAGGACCCAGTCCTCTTCACTCCTCATCCCCGAACCTCCCCCTCTCCCTGCACTGATGGCAGTACAAACATGTATGTGTGCGCACACACACCCTGGTTCTCACCGATGCTGCAGGAGTTTCAGCAGGAGGTCATTGCCTCGGTTAGACATGATGTCCTCAGGAACCCTAGGGGGAGAAGAATGGACACTGGAGGTTGGGGAGGAAGGGTCTGGATACCTGGGTTTCTGGTGGGCACTGTTTGGAGTGGGGGGCAACTTCCTAGCTGTCTCTGGGATCCAGGAGGGCAGAAGTTCCCAGGCACTCACGTGGTGGTGATGATCTCATCTCTGGTTCTGCGGATCAGCAGCACAGGGCCCTGGTACCTTCAGAGGACAGCACAGTGGGGAGGGAGACCTCAGAGCAGGGACAGGTGACAACTGAATGCCTCACCCCAGCACTGGCTGTATTTTTTTTTCAGGCTTTGCTGGGAGATCCCTGCTGTGCCAGGCATGAACCGACTAGCTGCCAGATCATGAGAAGGTCCAGGGTCCCAGGGAAGCCAGGAAGGGTTGGGGATGGTGGGAGGGCCCCTCAGGGGACATGGGGCAGTGGGTTACTTTGGTACTAATTTCAGCATTTGAACACCCAGCAGCATCTCTACAGGGGATGAGGTGGGGGAAGGGTATCAGAGGCTAGACACTGGCCGGCCCTCACCTGCACAGCTGCTCTGCATTGTTTAGATTGAGATGCTGCCTCACAGTCCTGGTCACCAGGCCCCCTAATGTGAGATAAATGTGAAAGGACAGCAGAGACAAAGCCCCCTGCCCAACACAAAGGTCCCCATTGTCCACAGAGATAGAAAACGGAGGTTCCCAGACAGGGGAGTCCCCCTGCTTCTCAACAATGCGGTGGCCTACTCCCCACCCACACAGAGGGGAACCATCTCCAGTGAGAACGTCTTCCAGGTCCAGCCCACCTCTTCCCTCAAAGGCAGGCCTGGGAGCTGCACTCACTCCAGCTGTCTGGCATGACTTTCAAGGCCAAGGGCACCAGATCATCAAAGGAGGCATCCAGGATCACGGCACTAATGTCCGGGTAGGACATGGCTGCCCACGTAGCTGGTACCAGGAAAGGAAAGAAAAGGTGAGGACCAAGGGGCTCCTGCCCACCTCCACCCCCACCCTCATCCCCCTGACCCTACAGGCCCACCCTATTCCCCCTACTAAGTTAGCCCCAGGTCTCGCCTTAATCCCTCGCTTTACTTGGCCAGGGCACTGTCCAAAGAGAACAACGAAGTGCCCTGAAGACAATACCAGAGGCAACATTTACTCCTTGATTTCCCCACCCCAGGACCCAGGTTCTGCTTTTAATCATCAGGCACAAGGGTGGAAAGAAATGTGAAGTGTACTCAAATATGATAGCTTCTTCCAGACCCACTCAGAGCGCCCACCTATTCTCTCCTCCACCCCACTCCTGGGGTGACACAGAGATGGCCTGAGTGCGCCTACAGTAGCAGGGTAAGAAGAAGGTGGGTACCAGTGAAGCCGCCGATGGACCAGGCATAGAGGATGATATCCTGGGGCTGAAAGCCCAGGCGGTGGATGGCAAACTGGACCACCACATCCATGGCATTGGCCTCATTCTGTGGGAACGGCACCCCCTGCAAGAAGAAGGGCAAAGGGTCAGCACAAAAGACCACCTGCCCACCACCCCCACCCTCCCAGCATGGACACTTCCTGCAGCTACACTGCAATGGACAGTGAAGATGGAACTGCAGCTCTGAACAGACAATTCAGAGAGCTATCATCTTACTTAATGGAATAGACTCCAGTCAGTGACATTAAAAGTAAATAAATAATAGAGCCATGAGAGGGGCTGTTCACTCTAGAAACCAGTCATTTATAACAAGATCCACTATCTCCCCTCCTGCTAAACCCCCAATGTAACAGAAGGAGGCTTGCAGCTCCCCGCCCTTGGCACCCAGGTCACAGGTGAGTGGGAGGTCCTATAGAAATATAGACCCCTTTCCCTGATTCCAGTGACTGACCACAGGGAGACAGACTATAATTCAGGAAAAAGAAGAGATTTCAGAGAAGGTCTCACCGTGCTTCCAGCAAAGCCTGGATGATTCCAGCCCAGGACAGAATATCCAGCTGTAACACAGAGGGAGGAAGGGCTGGGACCTCATGGCCTATGACCTCTGGTCACTCTCTGCTCCTAGCTCTGGGGGAAGGAGCAGAAGGACACTGGAACTCTTAACACCCAACTCAGAGGCAAATAACTCCAAGCCTTCCCAGAATGGGAAGATGACAAAAAGGTTCTGACGCAGCAGAAAGGAGAGAGATGTGACTATTGAGGCATGGGAACAGAACCAAGAGCGTAATAGGGTAAGGGACACAGCCCAAGGGGAGGGATGTAAGGTTAGCAAAGCAAATGGGTAGTAGGCTTTTCCCGAAAGGCAAGGATCTCAAATCTCACTCAGAGAAGGTAGTTAGGCCCTGGGAGGTCCTATCCATGTGGGGAGGTGGGGACATTCCATCCCAAGGGGCGGAGATAAAGACGGCTGAGCCATGGGCCTACCTTCCAGAGGTGTGGAGACGCAGCCCACCTCATAGAAGCCTGCGTTCCCCTCACAGCAGATCACCTAGAAAGGCAACAGGAAGAAGCCCAGTTGGGATTGAAAATCCCCCTACTGGCAGGGAGGGCAGCCTGTGGGGGCCCTGCACGTGGTAAGCGCTAAGAGGCAACTATAACGATGATGTCTTTTTGGTCCCTCCATGTCAACTCCTTCATCCATTTCTCTCTTACAGGGATTTCCTACACCAAGAGGTTGGTAGGGAGGAGGTGGGAGCTGGGATTGTCCCCACTGGGCTTCCTTAGGGCTGTGGCAGACCCCACCACTTCCACTGCCCTCCCCACGCGCTGCCTTTGGGCTCCCATCTCACCAGCTTCTGTCCCTGGGGCTCAGCTGTCCCTCGTCGGTCCACAAACATGGTGTCAATTTCATTGCCATCGCAGGCCAGCAGCTTTGCCCGGCGCCCATGACACTGAGTGGAGGAGATGCATTGGCCAAGTTGGAAGGGCAGGAGGCCCCATTCATGGGTGGGGGAAGAAGGGCTGTGGGGGTGGGTGGTCCTGGGTAAGGGGGCCTTACCTCTTCCACCAGTCGGGCCTGGCCCTGCAGCAGCACAGGCATGAGGGCCTTCTGGAGCAGGTACACAGAGCCCGGATAGAGCATCCGGCGCCCCAGGGTATGTGCTACCAGGTAGCTGTGGGGAACACGGGGTCGATGAACCTCAAACACAGGGGAGTCCAGGGACCATCCCGGCCCGAGCACTCACAGACTGTGGTCTGCTTCACCTCTGACCCTCACAGTTTCGTTTTTCCTTTTCTAGGACTTAATGAACCAATATATGTACCAATTTTTCAACATCTTTTGTTTGGTTTTTGGTTTTTGGCTGTGCCATGTGGCTTGTGGGATCTTCCTTCCCCGACCAGAGACTGAACCCATGTCCTCAGCAGAGAAAGTGTGGCGTCCTAACCACTGGACTGGCAGAGAACTCTCTTCTCTGTAACTATTTTTACTGCAACTTTTTTTTTTTTTTACTGCAACCTTTTAAAGATACTTTATATCGTGGTCTAGGACACACATATGCACATATTCATCTTAAAAATTTTATGAGATAATACTTTGTATATACGACAAGTAAAAGCAAAGTAATTAACAATTATGATTCTGTTAATGTATTTATTAAAAGTCCCCAAATAAATAATACTGTTTATTACGATATGCCCAGTTATCTGCCATGTAGTAAGTGCCGAGAGCCTAGCACAGGGTACTCTGAGCTTAATAAATATTTCTTGAACAAATGCACTAATTTAGACACATCAGATGTGGCAGGTGCCACTCCTTAAAAAAATAGTTAACCATGTCCAGTCAATCCCAAAGGAGGATCTATCCCCAGAAAACACTACAAACCTGTCCAGCATCCCCCCCTCAACATCTCAAACTTGGCTCATCCCTCTGATCAATCAGCACGCGGTCCAAAACCCACCACCAAGTCCACCCCCTTCCTTGGTATCTTCCAACCTGCCTCCTAGCCCCCAGCAACAGAAAACTCCCACAGTGGCCTGGCCACCGGAAGATCCGAGTGGTCACTGTGGTTACTTGGGCTTTACCTCGTACTCTCGGGTATCCAGGCAAGGAGGAAGCCCTTCAGAGTGTGTTAAATCTCACCAACTCTATGAGGCAGGCTGTTCACAGATGCAGAGGCTGGAACTGCCTCACAGTGGGAAAACCAAGCAGCAGCGGGGCCCGGCTAGGGCCACAGTCGCCAAAAGACCCTGCAGCTGCCAAGAATGTGCATCCCCTTTCCACCCACAACCTCATCCTCCCCGCTCAGTCCCACTGAAAGAGCTGTTGTGTCAGACACAACTGTGTTAATATCTCAGCTCTTCAGGCACCACCTGGGAGGCTGTGGAGCTCTCTGAACCTCTTGTTTTTCACATACACACAATGTGATAGTCATGGCACCAGGCCTAATAAATGACAATCATCCTCCAGTGGAGCACCCTATCCTGGAGCCTGCACCCCATGTTCCCTCCACCTCAGCTCGCCTCTCCTCCCTGCCTTCCTACCTGGTGATCTGACAAGGCAGCTTCTTGACTTGGTTGAGGAAGGTGTCAGCCGTCCCGCGGTGCAGGGGCTCTGGGCGGAGCAGGGCTACACCCTGACGGCAAGGGCCCCCCCGGGACTCCTTCCTGAGGAATGGAAAGATGCAGGGGAGCATGGGGTGAGGAGGAGCAAGCTGGATGTCTGAAGTCTGTAGGATGGTGGGGTCTAGGAATGAGGAGACGGCGCTGGAAGGCAGGCACTGGACCCCAGGAGGGGCTGGAGGTGGGGGATGGCTCAGAGCAGGGAGACAGCGAAAGAACTGGGGCCTCACCGGCTGCTGGGTTCTTCCCAGTGGAAGTCAACTGGCCAGCTCCTGAAGTCGAAGTTGTAGTTGGCGAGCTGTCTCTGTGGTGGGCAGAGAGATATGGGGGATGACTAGGGGAGTCGGAGCGGGGAGGCCCACCTACCCACCCTGGACACTCCCACCACCCAGAGGACTGGCCCCCAAACATCATGGGGGAACACACAGAGGTTAGCACCCTCTGGTTCGCAGATGGAAAGTTCTGCCAGGACCAGCAAAATCAGGAAAGAGAGGATGTCCTGTTAAGGTATCAAGACTGGCCTGTCTGCCCTCCTCCAGAAGAGGAACCGAAGACTCTTCCCTTTTCTAAAATCTAAGGCTGACTCACCCCCAGCAGGGGTGGCTGGAGGGGCTGGTGCTTCTGAGGGAGAAGGCAGGGAGCCTGTTGGCTGGTCATTGCTCCCTTCCTCACCTGGGTCCTTCACACAATGCTGACTTGAAGGATCAAAACCTCTGTCCCAAGACTGGGTGAGAGGGAAGGAGGGAAGTCGTACAAACAGGAGCCCCTCTGCACCCGGGCCACCATCTGAAGCAAGCTCTCTCTGACTGTTCCATCCTCCTGGCCACCTCCCTTCCCTCAGCTCCTGCTGCCATGGGTCACCCAGACCCCCTGTGCCTCCATTCACTCCACCATCAGTCCATGTGCTTTCTGAGGGCAGCGGGAGCTGTACTATATTCCTTCCACTCTGCTGTATTCCCTCCCCCGCCCCCAGAGCTCCCAGAACTCTATTTTGAGAATAGTTTTTTTATTTTCTGTCACAGACTGTTTTTTTTTTTTTTTTTTGACATTTTCAAAAATAACTGGACTGAGAGAGAGCAATAGAAACATTCTACAAAAATGTAAATGGTGAAACAAAACAAAATGCAGGGAAGCAAATTTCAGGCGAGCTCTGTTCAGGCCTGGACCCAAACACAGGCTGAGTCACTTCCTTGCTTGGTGACTCTGCCTGGGTCTTGTAACCTCTCTTTGCCTCTATTCCCTCAGACATATAAAGAAGGGTAATAATGCCACCTCACACTGTGGTTGTGAGTATTAGAAAGGGTGTATGCAAAATGCGTGGTAGAGCATCCTTACAAAGCTCCATAAGTGGTGGTGTGGAGCAACCAGTAATCTGACAATGGTGGTCAGAGCTGTTTGATCCCAGAGACCCCTTTGTAACAGGAAAGAGCTTTACAGGGCCCTGAAGCCCCTTCTCAAAGATAATCACATGCCAGCACTGGCTGGGCTGGCACAACTCCAAGGACTCTCTGCCCTAGCCTTTCTCCCTCCCGGCACCACGGTGTGCTCTTGAGCACCCTAAGGATGGTGCTGTCTATCTGTCTGTCTTGTCCCATCCCTGAACAAAACTAGTACAGTGTTCAGCACACATAAAAAATAAACAAACTTTTGGGAGAATGAGCTGTTGTGATAGCGAGAAAACCCCCTTCTAGGAAATGCTGTGGAATGTTTCCACGTCTAGGCAATTCTGCAGACGGAGAGTAGAGGATTGCTCTGGTGGAATATTCCATCAGAAGTGGGAAGGGAAATTTCCTCAGGCGGACAGTTTACTTGTGGAGGGGAGAAGGGGTCCAGCCATGTGCAAGCAAATGCCCAGTGTGGCGGGTGGGGAAACACAT